TAGTTCCAAAGATCGGACATCCTTGGGCTTCAGTACGTGCTTGAGGAAGTCGGCACCGCTCAGAGCGAAATCGAGACTCAAGTGCTTCAAACTTGAGAAGGGTCCGAGATCTACCCGGGGTCCCCTGCTGATCAACTCGCAGTCCGAGATAGTCAGCCAATCAAGCTCCCTGAATTCGTGGACCCTCGCCAAGCTCTTGCCGGTCACACGGTCACATCCCTCCATGAAGAGACGTCTGAGACCAGGAGAATGGGCTCGCAGGTCATCCAGGTGGCTGTCCTCCAAAGCGACAGCCTCAACAAGCGACAGGTTCCGCAGCGCTGTGCACTTGCTTATCGCAGCGAAAACTCTGGCCGTGAGTTTTACGCAAGACTCTAAATGCAGATCCTCCAGATGATCTGCATTTGCTTCCAGGAAGCCGACTAAACCCTCGTCGACTAGCAAAGTCGTTTCGATGCGGAAGAGCTTCAGTCGGCGCCCCGATTCCACCAAGTTGGAGAGAACTGACTTCACGAAAGGCGTCGTGCACCGCTCGAGTTGCAGGGAATTTAGGGCCGGCATCGTACTCAGCAGCTGGCCGAAAATCGTGGGGGTCAAGGGAGCCGTAGCTTGCTTGCTCGCCCCCAAGGTGAGATGTTTCACGCTGGAGCGCATGCTGGAGAATTTTTCGACCTGCTCAGGCGACATTTCGAGGAGCGAGCGCTCGCCAACTGAAAAGAAGCACGTAAATTAGTGCTATATTCAGACGGATCTATGGACGGTCAGAAATTCCGAATCATAGGATATTCTCAAGTTTCTAGTTTTAGATTTCCTTCCGGGAATAGAAAGAATCGGAAAGGCGGGGAATTAAGACTCACGGTACATGTGGAGACCCTCCAGCTGAGAGCATTGCCCGAGGATCGAGTAGAAGACTCGACTCCGCCAATTGCACTCGTCGAGCATGAGTTCTCGAACTCTTCCACCGATGACGGACCAGAATCCTTCACTGTATTTCTTGATATCGAC